TTAATGCAAATAAATTGGCATTGAAACCAAACACATCCTAAATTGTAAAAATTACTTTGTCCCAGCCCATTCCTCAACAGTATTATTTAAAAAGATAAAATTCAATTGAAATACTCTTACATCTTTTTATTAATTGTCAAGATAATGTTAGAGGGCATCATAATTGATGTAGCGTGATCTAGCTGCTCCCCGTTGGAGGTGACCTGGCTTCTAGTTAGATGACGGACGAGATTGATATGCAAGGAGACGATTAGAGAACCAGGGGTGGCTAGCCCGGTGAGGTCGCTCCGATGCTTAAGTTAGTATACTTGTTGTGAGCTAAAATAACTTGAGAGTATAGAGAGCTAGAGAGCAGAGAAATCACGCGTACCTTGTGCCCTCGGGGTTTGAGCATTTAAATAGTGAAGTCCTCGCGGGTTCTGTGGAGCAGTTCCGGGGTCCTCATTACGACGAGATCCGTTTCCGCGTTAATTGGGGGATAACGTTGCCAACTGATAAGGCTTATCTATTCCACCCGAACCGGGCGAGGAGGAAGATAAAGCTTGCCGTTACGAGGCGTGATCCCGTAAAGTTTGGAATCTGATGGCGAGGTTTCCAGGGTCATCAAGTAGTGGTCTGAGTCGGTATCCCCGAACTGATGTTCTTTAGTCCCGAACTAGAGTGAACCCCGAAGTGCCTTGAGACCAAGGTGGTCTTGATGCGACCTTGTACCAAGGTGACCTCGTCCCGAGGTGACCCATGCCGAGGTGGTTTGATTATCTAAGTTCGATCTGTTGCGGTCTTGGTATGTCGGGCTGAGTTGTCATCTATTAGTCAGGACGTGTCCACGTGTCCCCCTATTACTAGGTCGGGCCAAATCACCCTTCATCAATTGCCCCCCACTCCTTGAGCCGGGGGTCCTGACCTGGTGCGGGGAGTTCATGACGAGTCCAGGTGGATTTGGCACGAGGTCTAGGCGGTCTGTCGAGTGGATCAGCCGATCGGACCTGTTTGAACCTTCGATTTAACCAAAAGTAGCCTAGGTCGCATTGGGTGTATGCGCGGACGCCACGTTGTTTATGGACTCCGGGGACGTCAAAAACGCGCTCAACTGATTTCGTCCTCGGGCATCGTACAACGGTTTTCATGAAAACCGTTGGATCAAGCAGATCTCAGCCGTTGATCGCCTCGCGGTGAACTATAAATAGGGGGCCGAGGGACCCCTCTTCTTCGCCAAAAATTCTGTGATTGAGCTCTCTCGAGGTCGCATTGAAGTCTTTCAGCTCGCTCTTTCTTTGTATTCTAAGGTCATTCTTCTTTTGGTGAGTTCGTTTTTTCTTAGTTTGTTCTTCTTGTTTTAATCATGTCTAGTGCTAGCATAGATAGGCTCCTAGGTGATTCTAGTGAGCTCGAGGGTGCCGAGGTGCAGTCCTCGGCTCCTACTGGCGAGGTCAGCTCCTCTCTAGGTGGCTCCCCCCTTCGCCCCTTAGAGGAAACTTCCTTACTTGAAGTTGGGCCATCTCGGCCTAAGGAGCCTGAAGCTCGGGAGGAGGGACCGACCTCTAGAGAGGAGGTCCCATCTTCTTCTTGGGGTCAGGATCCGGATGACTTCGGTCTTTCTACCATGACTTTGGATAGGCTACTGTCTTTGGTAGCTCGCTACCGTCTCCCTGATAGTTTAGTTTTTAGCGTTCCCCTAGGTCAATACCCTTGGGCTCACGATCACCATGACCTTGCAGTTTTCGAAGAACAGCTCGTAGTCGGGCTGCGCTTTCCGCTCCATCCCTTTATTATAGAAATAGTTAAGTTTTTTAATATCACTATCGACCAACTTCACCCAAACTCAATATAATATGTACATCACAAAAAATTGATTCATCAATAATGCAAGATGAGTTGTGATTCCATGCTAAGAAGCTTAACCCTTAACCCTTTTTTCTTGCATCTAGTCTTCTTGTGACCCTGACTCTTATTTACTCATAGTTTATACATGTAAAAGTAAAACAGCATCAGATGGGAAGGTCGGGCTGGTTTGCTGTTTGCAGCTAAGTACATATGTCCTCTCAGAGACTGGAAGAATAGGTCACCCTACAAAGCCAATGCCCTAGGATCTGAACCAATTGCTAATTTGCTATCTAGGATTCTAGGCTACTGGTCTGCACTCTGTTACTTTTTTAAAAAGACAAAAAGTAGTCCTTATCTTTGTTATATCATGCACAAATAAGGGGGTATTTTTTGTCTTTTGACTGGATATTTATCAGAAAATGGAATGTACCCCGGTACCCACCACCAAACTGATGTAGTTTTTCTCCACTGTAAAACAACATCAGGGATGTTTTTTCTCCGGGGTATTTTCATATTTGTGATTCATTTTATTCTCTAGAGTACGGAATTGGATTTTGCTCCTCACCCAGGCGCCTCACACTGAATTCACAGGCACATTTCACCGTGCATTGGGAACACTCTGTAAACGGTCCCCGTGCTTACCTCTGTCTCTGTGGTTGGTGCCGGTGTTGGCTTGAAAATGACTTATTTGTGCGAGTCGTGGGATTGCTGTATGTAGCATAGGTATATGAATGTGAAGCAGATTCCGATCAGCGATTGGATCAACTCGAAATCACGCCAATCTTGACCAATAACAGTCTCGTTGATCATCATTGGCCCAGATTGGTCATATAGTGATTAACCATTCATCTACTAGCTCACACTGGATCCTAATCCTATACTAAATTTTACATTTAATTTGTAAATTGTAATAAGTAATAACAAATAAAATTTTGTAAACTTAACAAAAATCATGTGCGAGGGCGAGTAAAAAAAACAAACAGAAACACATTATTACTAACTGCGAATCTACGACAGCTGTTATGAACAACGTTTCAATTGAAAGGACCAACCGGCTGGTTGGTAAGGTCTCTTGCTAGTTGTAGCGGAGACTTGGGATCAAATCAGCCTTCATTCGGTTGGCATTAGGGACAGGGGTGTTAATGATATTCAAAAATCTAACTTTGAATTTGAGATATGATATAATCGAATTGAATTTACATAGTTTGAATATTTAGGCAGTGTTTGGCATGGATGCAGTTACTTTAGAAAACAGTGATACATTAATGTCATGTTGGAAAAATCGGTATTTTAGAAAATGATAATATGTTTGAAACCGTTTTTTCATAAAAAATAGTGTTCCAAACCACGCTTTGGAAATTGAGAAAGTGTGGTATAGGAAAATGTAGAATTTGACATTTTTTCAATTTGAAGCTCATGCCAATGGGGACATGATGTGGCAAAAACGGTGGACTTCCTACAATGGGTACCAGTGTTGAAAATAGATATGGAGCACTGGTACCAAATAGAAGGGGTTGTTGTTGCCCCAAGAAAACCTGGTAGCAATGTTTCCAAACAAAAGAAAAAAAGACATCATTGATGCTAAACGTATACTTAATTGGTTGAATTTGAATATTTATTAAATCGAATAAGATCATATATGAATTTATATAATAATCGATTGAATCTGATTATTTAATTCTTATATATAATATATGAAATATTTAAACATTTTATATAATTTATATAATAATTAAGTTACATAAATAATTAATATATTTTATATAAATAAAATTTATTAATTACCTAAAATAATTAATTGATCAAATTCAAATCAAATATTTAAATATTTAATCAAATTTAAATTTGAATATTAATTTTTAATATACATCTTAAATTAGATTGAAATATCAAATTTTTTAGGGTTTCTATCATATAAGGGCAACTTTTGGGGTTTAATATCAATAAAAATAATATATTTAAAAAATTTAAAAAATAGATTAAATTTTTAAAAATAATATCAATAAAGGGCAAAAGCATTGTTCATCTTCTTCTTTTTGCCATTTGTTCACTAGAGCCGCCGCCCGCCACCGTCGCCTCCGCCTCCGGCAATATTACCGGAGGTGGCCGGAGGTAGAGGTGGCAGCGGCGGCACTGGTCGTTTCTTTGTCCAATGCTGCCACCTCCGCCTCTGCCTTCGGCAACATTGTTGGAGATGGGTGGAGGTAGAGGTTGCGGCGATGGCGGGCAAAGGAATGACCAGTGGACGATGGTGGCAGGTGCCAACGGACGACGACTCTGATGAACAAATGACAAGAAGAAGATGAATAGTATTTTTACCCTTTATTGATATTATTTTTAAAAAATTAATTTATTTTTAAAATTTTTTAAAATATATTATTTTTATTGATATTAAACCACAAAAATTGCCCTTCTATACTATTAACCCAATTTTTTAATCGGATTCGAATTCGCATATTATATGATTCTATTGCATGCATTTACACTCCTAAGTGGGGGATTATTATATGTCGTTACGTAGTGTTAAACTGTTAATGTAGACCCTTGAGAAAAGCACAACGTTCGAATGAAAACGGATCTGCTGACCGAAACACACGAGTTCGTTCGGGCCTTCGGGGTAAGAATGAAACTGCATTCTCGACTCTTGAGTCTCAAAGTCTTGTACATTAAAACTGCATCCGCTCCACTTCACTCTCACCATATTTGGTTAAACTCTACCGTACGCATAAGCGTCTGCCGTCTGTCGCGCAATCTGGCTTCCATTTTTGCTGGAAGACTAATCACTTTCATTTTCATAACGTTCATATTGATTGGAATTGGATGGTGGTGATGTTTTCTTTCTCCAAGGCCAAGGCCAAGGTGGGTCATAGTCATGCTACGGTCTTTGGTTTTGGGGGGAAGAATTAACGGTCGAGTTCGTGGGCTCCGTCACTGGCGCGCAGTTGCCATTATGCCATAGAGATCAACTTCACCGTTACGGCGCATATAACGGCTCATCTCTTGGTTTATATTCACGATAAACGGCAATTATAACGGCGAAGGTAAGATTCATGGGTAGAAGTGGAATTGTGTTTTACTTTTAACTCTTTGTCAGTGTTGTGGGTCCCGCCACCTGCCTCGATGTTTTCTCCGGTCTCCACTACACCCTGACGCCCTCCTCACTGAACTCTTCAGTCTTCACTCACCCCAATAAGAAGAGACCAGACCCTCACTCATTCCCACCTGTTCCTCCACTTCTCCCCTCCCTGAGGCAGAGCGTTTAATAGAATAAAACCAGCCAAAGAAAGTTTTCGCTTTTCTTCTTCTTCTTCTTCTTCTTCATTCGTGCTCTGTTTCTCACAGAACCAGGGCATGGAACGTTTCACAGTTCCCTTCTTCCTATTCATCTCCATTGTTTCTTTTACAGGTAAAAAAGGCTACCAAAACCTCTTGTCTGTTGTCTGTTCATGTGTAGTTTTGATGTTTTTGTGGTTAATTCTTTTTCCATACTACGTTTGCAGATGCAGGCACAATCGGGATAAACTATGGCAGAGTAGCTAACGACCTTCCTTCGTCAGGGAAGGTGGTTCAGCTTCTCAAGTCTCAGGGTCTCAACCGAGTCAAGCTCTACGACACTGACGCTACCGTTCTCAGGGCCCTTGCCGGTTCAGGAATCAGCGTCGTCGTTACCCTACCCAACGAGCAACTCTCCTCAGCGGCCAAGCGACAGTCCTATACCGACACTTGGGTCCAGAAAAACATCGCCGCTTACTACCCATCCACCCAAATCCACGCCATTGCCGTCGGAAACGAAGTCTTCGTGGATCCACACAATATAACCGAGTTCCTAGTCGCAGCGATGCGCAACGTTCACGCCGCGCTCGTTAAATATAACCTCGACTCCGCCATTAAGGTGTCCTCTCCCATAGCCCTTAGTGCTCTTCAGTCCTCCTACCCGTCTTCTGCGGGATCTTTCAAAACCGAGTTAGTCGAACCCGTCATCAAGCCCATGTTGGATTTTCTTCGCGAGACCGGATCCTACCTCATGGTGAACGCTTATCCTTTCTTCGCCTACGCAGCCAACTCCGACGTGATTTCCTTAGACTACGCTCTCTTCCGAACTAACCCGGGTGTCGTAGACTCTGGCAATGGCCTGCGCTACTACAGTCTTTTCGAGGCCCAGATAGATGCGGTTTTCGCAGCCATGTCTGCTTTGAAATATGACGACGTGAAGATGGTCGTGACCGAGACAGGTTGGCCATCGAAGGGAGATGAGGACGAGTCGGGCGCAAGCGAGGTTAATGCAGCTGCTTACAACGGGAACCTGGTGCGCAGGGTACTCGCTGGAGGTGGTACCCCACAGAGACCACAAGAAGACCTCGACGTTTACTTGTTTGCCTTGTTTAACGAAAACATGAAGCCGGGCCCGACTTCTGAGAGGAACTACGGTCTATTCTACCCCAACGAAGAGAAGGTCTACGACATTCCGCTTACGCCGGAAGAGGTGAGGCAGAAGGTTCCAGTTAACGGTGGGAAGAGCCAGATGACGCCGGTGAACAATGGGGGCAGTGTTTCGACGAGCTCGTCCGGACAGACGTGGTGTGTGGCGAACGGTAAGGCTGGGGAACAGAAGTTGCAGGCAGCACTAGATTATGCTTGTGGAGAGGGAGGATCTGACTGCCGCCCGATCCAACCGGGTGCTTCGTGTTACGATCCTAATACTCTGGAGGCACACGCTTCGTTCGCGTTTAATAGCTACTATCAGAAGATGAGGCGCGGGATGGGGACCTGTGATTTTGAAGGAGCCGCATATGTTGTCACTCAGCCTCCCAGTGCGTATTCTTTTTCCTTGTTTACTGTTCTTCAATTTTCAGTTCTTCACCTCACGCGCAGGATAAGATGTTCTGTCTTCTGTCATGACTTTTTCTCTACAAACATGAAACATTCACGGGGATGAGGAGGGGTGGAGCCGTGTACTAGTGTTGTTTGGACAGGAGGTGTTCTGGTTTTATCCTTTTTTTTTTTACCGTAGATTCACTACTTTAGATTCTATCAGATTCAGTTCAGGGTAAGAGCTCCGGCCTCCGGGCCCCGTTCATCGGATCGGAGCAAAGCGCACGTTAGCAATATTTGGTCTAGATATGTAAATGTGCGCATGGTGCAGCAACCTTAGCTGGTTCTGGAGCCATGATGTTGGGAGTTGGGACTTGTGAGAGAGTAGAGGACGAGCGGGTTCTCAATTGAATGGGAGTGAAGGCGGTCTTTCATTACCCATTGGGACCCCCAGTTAAGGCGCACGTTAGACTGGGAAAAAAACAAGAAGTTTACTGTACATGGACTCCCTGTCGTACTGACGAATAACTTTAGGGTAATGATCGTAGATCTGGTATTCAATATTTTGGATTGATAATTTGATGCACTCGGGACATGTTCCCACAATCCTACCCACAAAGTATCACTACCATGTATTGGGAATATTTCCAAAGCGTAGCTGTAATGTCTCGTGGGTAGCATATCCGAGCCCAATTTGATGTTGTTCGATGAATGGGAGACGTCGATTTTAGGGCTATGATGTGTCCTGGTCCACGTATGATTTGTGTCACTTATTTTCATGTTGCAAAATTTGTTTGGTTGTATTTTGCGCAGAGTTTGGAAAATGCGAGTTTCCGACGGGATACTAAAAGTTGAGGGAGTTGGGTGGATGCCGCCGATTGCCGAAGAAGAAGAGGAAAGAAGAAAGAAGAAATGGGAAAGCGGGGAGGGGGGGGTGTATTTATTCAAAAGAGTAGTTGAGGTTGTTGACTTACTACTATTATTAGTACTTGGTGTAATTAAAAGCATGTATGAATATTTAATTTAATTTTTGATATATATATATATATTTAAATATTTATTTGATTTTCTACATGTTTGGCTGCCAAACTGATATGGTGTTATGGCTTGTCTCTTAGCTGGTTGATGAGTTTGGGTCTCTTATGGGATCCGTGAAAAAATCGAAAGAGACAAAGGGCGTTGTAAATTTTGAAAAGGCACTCAATTTAGGTGAATAAACGAAGTATGGGATGTGAACCAGAGACAAAAATCACATATCACAATGACATTTATTCAACGTCTTTGATAAGTGGAACTCGAACAAAGTAAATAAAATATGTAATTGTAATTGTAATTGAAATCTTGATTTAATATATACAGGCTACAGCGTGTTAGGTATGGTATGGTACTGGTAGCATCATCTCATCTCTCTCTTCTTTCTTATCAGAATTCTGAATTCTGCAAAGATTCTCTTTGCCTCCCTTCTTTTAGTGACAATACTATAAAAAAAATAATAATAATAATATATAAGGTTGTGGTCACATGGGTACATTGGGTGTATCAATTGATTACTATATTGTCCACTTCCCGAGCTTCATGACTGGTTTGTCTAGACTCTAGAGGTACCCATCTAAGCTATTATCTGCTAGTCTGGATTGGAAGACCGGAACCACCAATTCATCTTTGCCATGCACTGCCTGAGGCTGAGAAGCCCATCCCGATGAGGCGATGACAATACAAAGAGGGGGGTTTAAGGGTTTAACTAATGACAACCCAGGCAATCCGGATGACAAGCCAATTGATACATCAGACACCTCCATAGGAATTTGCCCACACTGGCCTCCTAAAAATGCAGCCCAGTGCCAACAAATTGTTTGACCATCATCCTCATATCTTTGAAGCATCAAATTTGATTTCGTTTCTATCGAGTCCAAACCAAATCTTGATTAATGTTTTGTTTTTATATAGGTTGGTGATCAGTAGCTCAACTAATTAAAGTTAATTCTATGAACATTGCCCATACTATTTCTATGACTTGGAGAGGGTCAATTTTGCAAGCTAGCTAAGTTATGCACGTAACTAGCTAGTGATATGATATAAGTTTATCATTATATGTTTCTTCTAGGTTCAAAATATCAATAAGGGTGATATGTTGATAGGGCGTATTGACCTGTATCGATACTCTTTTTATGTGTTTTTTTTTTTTTTATTTTTTTTTGAAACTGGTTCAGAGGGGCCGGTTTAAGGCTAGTCAACCCCCTGAATCACTTGCCGACCCGGAAAATCCCCTATAGGGGCATATCAGGAAGGATCCAATATGATACTATCGGCCAATATAGGTTAAAACTGTTAGAAACAATTGAATGCAACAATCGAAAGCAATAACAAGAGCTCAACAAAATGGACTGAATGACTTGCACTATTTTATTGAAACTGAACTTGGCTTTTATAGCCATTTACAACTCTAACAGAAAGTATAAAAGCAGCACACGTTAGCCTTATCTTAGCTACGTGATTAACAAAGCAATAGGTCAAATAATAACATCCCTAAAAACTAGGATTTATTGAAACAGAAAACAGACCAAGTAAAACACTAACAAAAAACCTGACTCCAAGCAACGACCTCTTCATGCCCTCCCTTAAACTAATTGCAGTCTACATCAATAGCTTCACACACTCCCATCATCTTTCTGAGTTTCTGAAATGCTTCTAACTTCAATGGCTTCGTCATCAAATCAGCCACCTACTCCTGAGTTCCACAATGGATTAATTCAACTTCACCATCTTTTGTAAGATCTCTCAAGAAATGAAACCGCACATCAATGTGCTTGCTCCTTCCGTGAATAACTGGATTTCTTGAGAGCTTGATCATTCAACTATTGTCACACATGATAGTGGTGCAACCCTTCTGTTCATGACTCAACTTTTTCAACACTCTCCTCATCCATACTACCTGGCAGGCACACGCAGCAGCAACCACAAATTCCGCCTCAGTGGTTGACAACGTAACTATGGGTTGCTTTTTGGACAGCCATGATATTGTGCCTGAACTTAAAAGAAACACATAACCAGACGTGCTTTTACGATTTTCTATATCACCTGCATAGTCGCTATCCGTGAAAGCAAGCGGTTCTTCTTCTTGCCCTCCCTTCTTATACAAAATCCCATAGTTTGTAGTGCCCTTTAAGTATCGCAAAATCCTTTTGGCAGCTTGTAAGTGAAGTTCAGTGGGTTTAGCCATGTACCTGCTGATCAAACTGACACTGAACATTATATCTGGACGAGTTGCCGTGAGGTACATCAAACTTCCCACCATTTGTTTGAAATAAGTCTCATCCACTATGACTCCATGATCATCTCTACTCATTTTGAAACCTGGCACAATCGGGCTGCTTACTGACTTGCTCTCAAACATCCCAAAACGTTTCAACACTTCAGTGGCATACCTCCTTTGACAAATGAAAATGCCATCCGATTTCTGTAACACCTCAATGCCAAGGAAGAATCTCATCCTCCCCAAATTAGTCATGTAAAAAACTTTCATCATAGAATTCTTAAAATCAGACATCATATCCTCATCATCACTAGTGTAAATCAGATCATCCACATAAATACTTACTATCAGCACTTTACCTTCATTGCTCCTCTTGGTGAATAAAGTCTACTCATTTGGACACTTCTAAACGCCTTCACTAATGAAATGAGCTTCAATACGGCTAAACCAAGCTCGTGGAGCTTGTTTTAGACCGTACAAAGCTTTATGCAACTTATACACCTTATGCTCACTCCCCTTTCTTTCATAACCCTTTGGTTGCTCCACATGCACGTCTTCACTGAGTTCACCATGGAGAAATGCTGATTTTACATCCAACTRGTAAATCTTCSAACCTYTTTGCGCCGCAAGTGCCACTATCATCCTCACTGTATCCATACGAGCTACTGGAGCAAATACTTCAGTGAAATCTACCCCTTGTTGTTGAGAGTACCCCTTGGCTACCAACCGAGCCTTGTACTTGTCTACTTCTCTAAGTTCGTTCAACTTCGTTTTATAAATCCATTTTACTCTAATGGTTTTGGCACCAGCTGACAAGTCGGTAAGTTTCCAGGTCTGATTCTTTTCAATTGAGTTAATCTCCGAATCCATTTCCAATCTCCATTTTGAGCTCTTCACTGCCTCTTCATAGTTGATGAGATCTGTAGAAGCAACAAGGGCCATATTGAGCTCAATTTCTTCCTCGGATAGTCCCTCACCGCTGACGTAATCTTCCATCCAAATAGAAGCCTGTCTGACCCTTCTTTCTCTAGCATCATATCCTTCTGCATTCAATGGATTAGATACAACACTCTCGGCTGCATGATTTTCATCTCCCAGATCTTCTTCATTGCCTTCACTAGCAGCTTCAAGATTCTCATCACCTTCTGCTTCATGCTCATCATTTGTGTCATTCTTGTCATCACCCCACTCAAGATCTACCAACACTTGTTCCTCATAGCTAGTGTCCCACTCCCACTTTCTATCTTCCTCAAATACTACGTCTCTACTAGTCACCACCCTTTTAGCCACCGGATCATACAGCCTGTAGCCCTTCGACTCCTCACTAACTCCCAAAAGCATGCATCCAAAACTCTTGTTCTCTAGCTTAGTCCTCCTGGTGTCTGGCACGTGAACATGTGCCACACACCCGAAGACTCTAAAATGTTCCACTGTGGGTTTCACACCAGACCATGCTTCTTCAGGAGTGATACTCAGGCCATGTACGTGTTAAACAGAAGTCCTACAGTGGCAGTCAAGAATATCACTCCTGAAGAAGCATGGTCTGGTGTGAAATCCACAGTGGAACATTTTAGAGTCTTCGGGTGTGTGGCACATGTTCACGTGCCAGACGCCAGGAGGACTAAGCTAGAGAACAAGAATTTTGGATGCGTGCTTTTGGGAGATAGTGAGGAGTCGAAGGGTTACAGGTTGTATGATCCGGTGGCTAAAAGGGTGGTGACTAGCAGAGACGCAGTATTTGAGGAAGATAGACAGTGGGAGTGGGACACTAGCTATGAGGAACAAGTGTTGGTAGATCTTGAGTGAGGTGATGACAAGAATGACACAGATGATGAGCATGAAGCAGAAGGTGATGAGAATCTTGAAGCTGCTAGTGAAGGCAATGGAGAAGTTGTGGGAGATGAAAATCATGCAGTCGAGAGTGTTGTATCTAATCCAGTGAATGCAGAAGGGTCTGATGCTAGAGAAAGAAGGGTCAGACAGGCTCCTATTTGGATGGAAGATTACATCAGCGGTGAGGGACTATCCGAGGAAGAAATTGAGCTCAATATGGCTCTTGTTGCCTCTACAGATCCCATCAACTATGAAGAGGCAGTGAAGAGTTCAAAATGGAGATTGGCAATGGATTCAGAGATTAACTCTACCAAAATATTCAGTAACACATTCACCTGACTTCATTTTGAGAGTCTCGAATTCCCTCCTCAGAGCTTGAAGGACTGACCTTTTCACTCTAGCATTCCCTTCGTACTTCCTTTTCATCGAATCCCAGATTTGTTTCGATGTGTCCTTCTGTAGGATAGTCTCAAGAATTGTTCTGCCTATTGCCTGAAACAGGTAATTCTTGACCTTCATATCCTTTAACTTCATATCTTCGAGCCTCTTCTGCTGTGCTTCTGTCACAGCTTCACCTGCTTGCGGTTCTTCATATCCTGTCTCGACCAAGCTCCAATATTCCTTGGACCTTAAGAAGTTCTCCATGAGCATGCTCCAATGGTCGTAATGACCATCAAAACGTGGAATGGCTGGTTGGACGAAAGGACCTTCGCTTGCACTCGACATCTCTCTCAAACTTTCCTGTGTTTACAAGTCAATCGAAAGACTGCGGCTTTCCTCTCTCTCAGGCCCAGTGTGGCTCTGATACCACTTTGTTAGAAACAATTAAATGCAACAATCGAAAGCAATAACAAGAGCTCAACAAAATGGACTGAATGACTTGCACTATTTTATTGAAACTGAACTTGGCTTTTATAGCCATTTACAACTCTAACAAAAAGGATAAAAGCAGCACACATTAGCTTTATCTTAGCTACGTGATTAACAAAGCAAAGGAATATGTCAAATAATAACATCCCTAAAAACTAGGATTTATTGAAACAGAAAACAAAGCAAGTAAAACATTAACAAAAAACCTGACTCCAAGCAACGACCTCTTCATGCCCTCCCTTAAACTAACTGCAGACTGCAATTAGTTTACATCAATAGCTTCACAAAAACGTGACAAAATTTTGATCCTTGGTTGTAAGTAATTGTAACCTATTGTGTAACAACAAACTCTTACATTTTATCTTGTATGGATAGATATACATGCCCAACTCTACATATTTCGTGCAAATGGAACAGCCAAAAGTTGATTGGCTTTCTCCATTTTCATCTTTCAATTTTCTTAGCTAGGTGATGAAGGGAAATTTGGCCCGACCTCGCGATTGCCCGATACGTGGCAAAGGCAAGCAGCTCGGGACAGTAGAGCGCCCAAAGCGAACATCGGAAGCAAGTCCAAACTCACTACCGAGCCCGAACTCCAAACCGCTGAACTTAGTCCGAGCTCCTTGTTAAGAGCGAGCTCCCTGTCAAAGGTCCGAGCTCCCTAAAAACCCGAGCTCCCCAAGTCCGAGCTCCCTAA